CGGGCGGCCGGGCCTGGCTCCTCCCGGCGGCCAGGCTGAGGCGGGGTGGGGTGAGGCGGCGGGGTGGACTTCCCAAGTCGCTCATTCGTGGGAGTGACTGACGGACGGGGTGGGGAGGCCACCGGGAGACAGGCTGGGCCTGCGGCTTCCGCGACTCGGGCCCAGAAATGAGCAAGCCGAGTGCGGGCGCCCAGATGGAGGAGGATGCTGTGCGCGGCCCGCGGCGAGCGGGGCGCCATGGTTCATTGGCCAAGGTCGCCTCCTCTTACCTCTCGTGTCCGGCGCGGGGGGAGGGGTGCCCGAGCCGCCGTCGCCCGCATCTGGAGCCCATTCCTCGTTCCCCTGAGCCTCCAGGGTACTTTATCAGGGCTTCTTTGTGGTTCTTTTCTCTTTTTATCTCGTACTTCAGTTTTGATATGCACATCTAGGCTCCACACAGGCTCTTAGGCTCCATAAGGGCACAGCCCCTGTATGTCGGGTACTCACTGGTGCTCAGGAAGCAGTGAATGAACGAGTGAGTTCCTATGAACTTTTGAATTAATGAATCGGTGAATGAGTTCACGTAAAGCAGAGCCGAAAGGAGGAATACGCGAATGGGTATCAGTACACACGACGTGGACGCAGTGGAGGCACAGGCTTAGAACTCTTCTGATAATTTTCCAAAAGCTGTGTAAATGTTGCACTCTTGTAAGTGGAGTTAGTCAGATTGTGGCTACTTGAAAGGAGTTCTGTGCTGTTTTTAAAGAAAATAATCACCAGAAGCACCGCCTCAGATTTCCACTTTAAGTAGATTTTCGTGTATGTGTTGCTTAAAACAAAGGAGGCTTTTTCTTGTCTGTGTTTTCTACTTTGGGCTTTGGAGAATCATTGTCACCATAATAAAATTTAATGTATTCCTGAAAGATAAAGGTGAATCTGATTTTAGTAACTTGTTTGTAAAACCAGACATTTCTTTGAATTCAGGATTTTGAGGAATCTTGTTTGTTTTCCTGAGACGGGTGCTGGCTGGTTTGTGGGTGGCTGATGAAGGCTGAATATAGTTCAGAGAGGAAAAGAGAGACGTTTATCCGTGTGCAGACACTTTGGAAGTTACACTGGTTGAGACTGCTTTAATTTGATTGGTTACCGCATCAGTTCTAGGTTTCCAGACCTGGGTTTCAGAAAGGCTGGATGACTTTAGACTTGTCACTTGATCTCTTTAGGTCTCAGTTTCTTAATCTCCAAGATGCAGGAGGTTAGGTAGGACCCCGTCCTGAGTTAGTCTTCCAGGATTCTCTTTTATCAGGTAAAAGATGAAGTTGCAGGTGATTTCATGAAGTCTGCTCACTCCCGCTGCTCTGCTTGGGATTCCATAGAATCTTGGCGCCACTATCTTCTCTGCAAATCACATCTAGTTCCTCCTTCCTCCAAAAGGACCTGGGGGCTTGAGATGAGAATTATAGACTCTGGTTTGGTGGGGAGAAAGGAGGGCAAGATTACTTGGTGCATTGCCACAGACCCCCAGCCCTGGGTCTAACTTGTTTCTAATGCAATCAGCCTGACAGTGCCATGTATTTTCGTTATATCTAGGGAGTTGTATCTCTATTTATTTGCCTGCATTTGAGATTAGTTATCATAGATCACAATGTTTTGGAACTGGAAGGACCTTAGAGAGTTTTTTAAAGGCACTTAAAAAGTCATTTTATATAGATATTAAAATATTTTTTGCATGCTACATTTAACAAACACAAAGTCCCAAACGTGTTAAATAAAATAAAATTAATGTTACCTACTTCAGCTATTTCAACTCTGTTGGGAGAAGTGAAGCCAAACGTCGTGCTTGGTGACAAAGACCAACTTTCTCTGACTCTTTTTCTCAAAGATCCACTTACGGGGTCATGTGTGGCTCAGGCATGGAATGTAACAGCTGACATTTATAAGGCACTGACCGCACCTAGAACTGATATTTTTAACCTTTTTACTTACATTGCCCCATTTAATCCTCACTGTGGACCTAAGAGTTAGGTACAATTGTAATCCCTATTCAATTTTCCTAAATAGAAACCGTGCTTGGAAAATGGGTAAGTCAGGTGTTCAAAACATAGGCAGTTGGAGGCAGGGTTTCTCCCAGAAATAGAGACAATCTCTGCTAGGAAAAACGGTGTCATGTTGGCTAATGTGGTCTCTGTGTGTGTTCCAGGATATATGTTAAATTCTGGGGCACTGTGTGTTAGTGAATTAAGAATGGGAGCCCAGGAATGATTTAAGACTGAATTACAGAGAATTAATTGTTATATCATTTTGAAAATTACTAAATTCCGTTGGTACTCTGGTAAACTCTAATATTTTGACCTAGATGCACATGCATCCTAATTTTAAACATGTTCAGATATATCAATCCAGGGAGTATAAAAAGGGTGACTTCAAGACCTATTGTCAGTGAGTAGCACTTAAGGGCTTTGAACTATGAGTCCCAGACAGTGCTGTTTCTTGGGCTAGTTTCGGGTCCTTGGGGTGCTGCTGCTTCCCAGCCTCCTTTATAAGAACGGCAGCTCAGTGCAGACGAAGTACGATGCCGACCTCACTGTAATCTAGGGGCAGAAATGCTCGTTGAGTTTCCAAAACCCTGATAATTAATTGACAAGAGGAAAAGAGAGGCCCAAAAAGTAACTAGAAAATTATTTTGTGTCTTCTTTGTCCGTCACATTTAGTCTCATAGAAGGCAGAGACCAGTTGGGGCTGCCTGAGAAACTGAGAGCCAGTGCCAGTTTGATTTAGCTCAGGAGGCTGAAACGCTCTGCCCTGAAGGCTGGTGTGGTGGAACAGACCTTCCCATTGCTCACAGTATTATGAAAAAAACATTAAAGCAACAATTTTTATTACTTGCCCTGCAGCTAGAGCTTTAAAATGTACTTTGTTCTCCCCCTGCCCTCCCTCAACCACTTAAGTTTTAAAAACAAACAACCCATTCATGGGTTTGCTACATCAGATTATTAGTCCTTTTCTTTATTCTGGGCCTTGTTTCTTTAAAGCAGCAAAGGAGGACTGGTGTGCCTCTAGGTCTGTGGAATTTTTCTTCAGTTCTTACTTTGTTCAGTATATGTTCATTTCAGTAACCATTTATTGAGTGCATACTATGTGCCAGATAGAGTTGAGTGAGATACTGAGTTTGGGTAGGAAAGGGATCCATCCACACATGGTTGCAGCACCAGGTGATGTGCAGTAGTGTCCACTCATTCTCCCAGGAAAGAAGTGCAGTTAGAGCTTAGCAAGACTTCACAGAGGAGGTGATTTGGAACGGGATTCTGAAGCTTAAGGGCTAAGAGGAGAGGGAGAGATGGATGCTCTAACCCCAGAGAACTACATGGGCAAAGAATAGGATGCAAGTATGAGCATGGCGTCCCTAGGGAGAGATGGGGGTTCAGTGTGGCTGTGGTAGAGAAGTCTTGTGATGCTGGGGCCAGAGAAAGAAGGTCCTTGAGTGGTGTGTTATTTAGACTTAATCAGAGCTTAGATAATCTTTTTAAAGAGTTTTTAAGCTGAATTTTTAAGCAGAGGAGTGCTATGATTGGATTTTCTTTAGAAAATAGCTCCAGCAATAATTTTTTGGAGGATCCAGAGAGGGGAAAGTCAGGAGGCCAGAGGAAAATGAGGATGCTGTTGCTATAGTCCAGATGAAATAGCACCGGTCTGAGAGAGACTCAGAAAATAGGGAAGGCAGGATTTAATGACTAGTTGAATATGGGAAATCAGGTTGAAAATAATTCTGAGGTTTTGATTGCTTCACTGGTTATGAAGATGCCACTGATGAGGATAATAAATGTAAGATGAGGAAGAGGTTTTGAGAGAAGGACAGTGAGTAGAGGGAACTGGAACATCCAGGGGCGATCCCTAGTGTGCAGCCTTGACGGTAACTGTACTGTGATGTCACAGCCAAGACCTGCCAAACTTTACAACAGGCCCTTGGTCTAAAAAGATAAGTCACTTTAAAAAGAAGGGAAAAAATCACATTAGACTTTCTAATGATCCTTATATTTCAGATGAGTTTCTTAGAACTCTAATTCTTATGTAAGTTCTAGTGGAGAGAAAAAAGTTAGATACTCAAACAGTGAGGGATTATTACAAACCATCTAGAGAAACCAGAGTAGATAAACGCAGACAGGAGTGGTTGAAAGGAACACAGATAAGCAAATGGCAGGAGAGTAGCAAAGAGGACTGATTGCCGCAGACACGGGTAAAGGCAGATCTGGAATACAGAGAAGGCATTTGAGCTGGTTCTTCGAAATAACGTACTTCTTAAGTGGCAAGAATATCACAAGCTTTGGTTTCTCATCTTATGCAACTTGTTAGGAAAAAACAAATAGGAGATTGTTCATAGATGCTGTGCAGGGGGGTTGATCTTATTTTGCAAAGTGTTGGGAGACTTTGAACTAAGGGAAGAATAACAGGTAGGATAAGATCAAGTGGAAAGGATAATGGTTAGGAGGAATTTTCAGAGTATTTAATGAATTCTGTGAGAAATAGTAGCTAACAAAGAAAAAGGTGGATCGATGTAGTGTTGTCTTAGTGTTGTGGCATTAGATTTGCTTGGAAAAAAGAATATATTATCATAGCACTTCAAATATAAGAAGAATTTTTACATTTGATTGTTACATTAGTGCCTGGCCGCACTCAGATATAGGTGTGCACCTATATTTGGGTGCGGCCAGGCACTATTATCTTTTCTTTATAAACTAAAAATTTGGATATTAAGGAGGCTGCAGTTTGCCTCAGATCCCTAGGTGGCAAGGACTCCAGGGCTTCTGACTTTCTGCCCTCTGCTCTGTCCATTGTATCAGAGCCTTGCTTTGCCTTGGAACCTTGGCCTTTTATAGGGTGTCCCCTCCACCTCCCACCATGTCACATTGTGTAAAAGTAAGAGTAAAGTAGA